GTAACACAAATTCATCACCAATCTCAACAAAAAAAGTTTTGTTGATCAAACCCACAAAAACCCCCCAAAAAAGAGGGGGGGGGGGGAAATTTGGGGAAGTTGAAGTCCACACATCTTGAAGTTGCCAAGGTTGAGAAACACTGGTCTACCCGCTTTGAATTTTCACTGCAAAATTAGACATTTGGGATATGTAAAACATACCCAATACACTTGTATTTCTTCCGCCTACAGACTTTTTTTTAACCAGATCTGGTGCTGTATGGAAAAAGTTGGATTCCCTCTTCACCTTGAACCTCCTTACATATATTTTTAAAAGCATGAACAGTGATCAAACAAGGTTATTTACAGGCAAGCAAATAAAATACTCCTGCAACCTACCTATCCATTTTTGCTTCAGCATTATTCCAAAACCCAAATGTTTGTCCTCTAAACTTTCATAGGTAAGGCACCATATTCTCAGATGCACATAGGTTGCTGGCTTTAAACCATTGAATATGATATCAGATACATAGCATGTGTCTTTATGTATGGGAGGGAGCAGTTGTGCCATTCTATTGCTCCAGTTTCTCTACGTTTATCATACATGATAAAACTAACACCAATACATATTCTTTAGCTTTTTACTAATTGGAACTTGGGACATATTTCTGCTTTTTGATCTCTGCTGGCCATGTGGCCTTTCTTCTCAAAGGTCCCCCAAAGGCTGTGATCTGAAAAGGCCCAGCTATCCTGCCACAACTTACTTTCTGCATCAGCTGTACTGTGGACAGTCACCATTGGAATTCGTGGACCTTGAAAACAGGGAGGAGGAAACACATTAGATTTAAGAAAATGCATCCAAAGTAATATCCAGAGCTAGATACTAAATCCCTTGGAGCTAACCAAGGTTTATATTAAATGGAAAGCCGATCTAAGTTGCCCAAAGATAATTAATAGCCACCAGCCCAAAACATGCAAGATAGACAGATTCTCCCAGTGGAGCACTGACTTGGTTCATCTTCTCTAATTTGTCAATATTTTAATTAGTGCAAACACAATTAAAATAATTTGTTTTAGATTATTTTAATACCATGCTATTTATATGACACAAAGGATTATACTTCTCAGATAATGCATTGCGTAAAAGACAAAATAAAGCTCTAAGAGTGCAAACATTTCTAACTGGATATTAATTATTCTCTAAGCGCTGCTACCCGCTGACTTCCTCTGATGTTGCTCTTCTTTCTAAAAAACACCATCTCCCAGACACTACAATCAGAAATGCCTCCACGCTGCTTCACAAAGTAAAGTGCTTCAGAAACCTGAACAGGACAGGCTATGTTGGAATAAATTCAAATAGACACGTATGTATTGCAGCCATCTGGTTAATCGGTGAGTTGAGCTCACCCGTGGCACCCATTTTGCGAGAGCACCTTCAAGATGTTTGTAAGTTCCAAATGTGGCTTGAAACCCCAAAAGGTGCTGATTACTAGAGTAACATATGAAAAGAGAATGAAAGAATGCATTGAGGAAGGCATCTTTGTGGTCAACGGAAGGGAACGTATAGTCCTGAATTATCTGACTGTGGGGCTAGCTGTTTAAGTAATGTCAAGAACACTTGTTTGGATCCTGAAGCCCTAACAAGGTGCTCAACATGTTCCTTGCACATGCCATGTTCCTTTGCTCTCCCCAGTTTTATTTTTTAAGACTCTTTAATTAAAAAAAAAAGAATACTGCAAAGCAAGACAACTCTATATAGACTCCAGAGACATTCCTTGAAAATGAAATTGAGTGTGACTCTAACCCAGTGCTTTGTCTATGGGGTTTTGTGATTGGAGACACCCATCCTAAGGATCATTTTGTGAAAATGTTCATAACATGCTTGCTACGTTCCAAACATGCCCATTGATTCAAAATATCTGGTTCAGATAGACAGTTTTCTTGCCCAGATCAAGATCAGCAAAAACCAGTTCTGGGGATTTTGAAGGCAGGTGGGCTCATGATATCACCTCGATAGAAAATCAGGGTGTGAATGACCTCTCTTTCTTAACTGAAGCTGCTTTTCACAGAATCTGATTCTTCAATCAATGTAAGTATGGTGTTTTAAAAATAAAATAATGGGTGTAAGGTGAAAGAAATAATCTGCCTTCTTACAGCTAGTGACCAACACTACTAGTTCACCATACTGGTGGTTCAGGAAAGCTTACCTCTAGAATTTAAGTGTCACAAATTTTTACAAAGCCCTAAGCCACATGGATGGTTCTTGGACCAAACACTTGGAAAGTGGCATTGAATCAATTCCCCTGCTCTGTGCAGGAATCTGATTTTAATAATATCAGCAAAGGTTTGTCTACCCTCTGGTTCAACACATCCAGTGAAGGAAGTCCTTCAGGTAATTGGTTCCATTATCAAACTGCTCTTACTTTCAGGAAATTATGGGAGACATTTTCTTCTCTACTACCATCCATTGAGGACTCTGAAATTAAAACAGAACTTTTGAAGGGGTGGATTCTCTGAGTACATCAGATCACATGGAGAACATACAGACAGGTATATTTAATAGTTGCTCTAGACACAAAGGCTTTGTGCCTTCTCAGACAATTTTAAAACAACACTAGACCTCACGATTAAGAAGTAAGTCTGAATACAAAAACATGGGTAAAGTGTTTTAAGTGTTCTCCAAGCTGTCTGTTGCTAAAGTGCAAATGAACAAGGTTTTAAACACATGAGTTAATTATTTATCATGGGACAATCTATGGAAGGTATAGGGAACTTCTCACCCTCCAGATGTTGTCACTTTACAGTTCTCCCCATCCCTGACCATTATTTCTTTCACTGGAGTTGATAAGAATTGGCAAGCAAAAATAGGAAATGTCACTTCAGTGGGATTTTCACTGTATGTTTTTCAATTGACAATGTCAGATGGCTCTTTGCATTTTTTTCCTGGACAGAGCATGTAAATAACCAGATGGAACAAGTCTACAATTTTCTCCAGTAAGTAGAAAACATTTTCAGACAAGTCATCCCAGATTCTTAGAAAGAGAATATATTAAGATGTTTATTCCTTTTTTCATTTCAAGCAAGTTCCTTATTTACGTGGTACTGATAGTGACAGAGAAATACTACATTTTTTCCATCTGACTGATGAAGTAATTCTAATTTCCATTTCCTATTAATGAGAAAGTGTTCATTATCAAGGTTATTCTTGTATTCTGCAGTAGCTATATGGGGGATAATGAAGCACAATCTGTAGAGTATGGAGGAGGAGGAGGAGGAGGAATTTTATTATTCCTTTTCTTAGATGTTACTTGAGTGCTTGAGATGATCTCCTGAAATACGAAAATGCAGTGAAAGGCAACAACATTGCTCTACCTCAATAAGATCTAGCAGAACTGGGGGAAATTTTCAGCTGAAATCTAATTTCAGATAAGCAAAGGATCTGGAATAATCAACAGTGAAAAACAGTTTGGGTTTTTTTAGTGCTAATGTTGGTCCTAATGTGTGGCAGCTTTCAGGGGTATTCATGGGAGGGGAATCAACATGGTAGCCTGTGTGATTGAACAGTGTGATTGAAATCTCACCTCTTTTTATGAGCGTTGGATTACATGTAAAAAAAGGAGTGGACTTTTGTGGAGTTGTGGTGGCCAACTTGACTTTTTTTATCCCAACCTGCAGATGCCCCCGGCAACTTCATAAAAACAAGGTACCCTGATGTCAGAGTATTTATTGTTTCCAAGGCCACCACCTGTATTTTGAATTGAGCCCGGGAAACAATGCTGATCAATGAAGATTCAAGTATAGAATCTGGACATCCAGGCTTCCATTAAGATCAGTGGGAAGGGTCCTCAGTTTGCTCCATCAACAAATTGCTGAGAAGGAAAAGGAATTTTGGGGTCTTCTCACAAGAGAGAGAAGGATAGAAAGGGAGGGAGGGAGGAAGCTTTGAGTCTGGAAAAAGTACTGGAGATATTTTCCCAAGAGCAGCAAGCTCTTTTCTTCCCAATTTGGCAGAAGAATGCTACATGATAAAAAACGCCTTATTCCAGATAAAAGCTTTCAGCTGAGCAAATTATTATGGATTGTTCTGTACGGGATCTTTCTAAAAACCTTTGTAGGGTCCCCTGAGATCTTATAGATTGCATCTTCTTTCTTCATCCCACTTTTATATAGCTGTGTTCACACCACAACCCATTTTCTGCCTCTGCACAGACCATTATGCGAAACTCAGGGCAAGCCAGGACAAAAAATTACCAAGGAAGTTTAAAAGGAATCAAACTTGTCATCTGGTGTGAACGCAGCCATTTCAAAACACTGTTCCGCCATACTGCAATAAATGTTCTTTGCAAATATTCACGTAGTTATCGTTTCCTGAGCAAAAGGCAAATCCAACACCTCTAAACACTGGGAATGCACAACGCTTTGCATGTACACATATATGTTACTTCCACATGAATGTAACCTTGCAATCAATAATATATTTTTCTCTCTCGGATCCAATGATTGACTCTCTTCCCATTTCCCACACTTTAATATACGTGCAAAAGTATCTGAAGTGATGCTGTCTTTGATGCATGCAGAAAAGTAAATCTGTACTACCAGAACATACAAAATGACAGTTTTTCCTATTCAGGCACGCTGGCGGTAATCAGGGAATTGCAATCAGGGAAAGAAAGTTTGGTTTAATTTGTCTGCATCACTTAAAAGACTGATGAATAGTTAGAAATGGTGTTAAAATTGTTTAATTTGCTTGACCTAGACCTTCTCTCCCTGGTCCCTTTCCCCCAGGTCACATAACGGAACCACAATATAAAGATACTTAACCAATCTTTTCACATTTTTTGTAGCATTTTGCTGTCATTGGCCCCATTGCAATGATGCTGTTTGAAAGCAATGCTGTTCTCTAGCCATTCGTGGTGAAACTAACAAAATCTAAACGCATCATCACCCACTTAGATCCGGAGCCAATGGAAATATTTAAAATTGCCACATGTGTTTGGAAAATCCTGTTTTGCCTTTCCAAAGCACTCTGTGTGCGTGTCTGCGTGTCTGCTTTAAAATAAAGCCGACAGAAATCATGAATAATCAGTATTCCGGGATAACTACCAAAACACAGCTAAATGTGAGAAAGGTTAAAAAAAAAAAAAAGAAGGTGAGAAGGTGGGTTTTTTAAAAATTTTAATGGTTAAAAGAAAAAAAAAAGAGGCTTTTTCTTCCTCCTCTTCAAATACCTTCAGGTAATTTCAGGAAAGCAAATTTTTTCCTACGTACGCAGCAATGAAAACAATGGTCTCCAGTCTCCATCACAGTATCTTTCCAGCAGTGATGAATGATTTAAGAG